CTTAGCTGTGCAGAAACTTTTCAGCTTGATTAAGTCCCACTTGTTTAGTTTTGTTGTTGCAATGGCCACTAAAGTCTTCTTCATAAAATCTTTGCCCAGGCCAACATCCTCAAGAGTTTTTCCCACACTTTCTTCTAGGATTTTTATCATTTCATGCCTTAGATTTAAATCTTTTATACATCTTGGGTCAATTTTTGGATATGGTTATCCAGTTCTCCCAGCACCATTTATTAAATAGGGATTCTCTTCCCCAGTGATGTGCTTTTAGTTGAGTAAAGATCAGATGGCTATAGGAGACTTGTTTCATCTCTTGGTTTTCTATGTGGTTCCACATGTTTATGTCTCTATTTTTGTGTCAATACCATGCTTTTTTGATCACTATGGATTTGTAATATAATCTAAAGTCTGGTAAGGTGATACCTTCAGTTTTGTTTTGTTTTTATTACTAAAAATTGCCTTGGCTATCTTGTTTTTTTTTTTTGTTTTTTTTTTTCTGGTTTCATATGAAATGAAGAACTACTTTTTCCATTTCTTCAGAGTATGATGTTGGTATTTTAATGGGAATTGCATTGAATCTGTAGATTGCTTTGGGTAGTATACACATTTTAATAATGTTGATTCTTCCCAGCCAGGAGCATGGTATAATCTTCCATTTGTTAATGTCTTTGGCTATTTCTTTTCTTAGGGTTTCATAATTCTCTTTCTAGAGGTCCTTCACCTCTTTTGTTAGGTATATTCTTAGGTATTTCATTTTCTTTGAAGCTACTGTGAAGGTAATTGTGTCTTTGATTAGCTTCTCAACTTGGCTGTTATTAGCATATACAAAGGCTACTGATTTGTGGACATTGATTTTATACCCTGAGAGGTTACTGTATTTCTTGATAATTTCCAGGAGTATTGTGGTTGGGTCTTTGGGGTTCTGTCAGTATAAGATCACATTGTCAGCAAAGAGTGAGAATTTAACTTCTTTGCCCCTATTTGGATGCCCTTTATATCTTTCTCTTGCCTGATTTTAGCAATAT